ATGCTACTGTTTTTCATATCCAGCGCTTTAATTTGGCAGCGACCCCAACGCCATTTTATGCATAATTTGCTGGGTGAGAATAGATAAAAATTAATAACGCAATTTGCCAGAAATGTTGTCAAAGGCACAATACACACAGACTCGCACACACAGTGCCCAGCGAGTAGCCAATTTTATGCCGAAGCTCGTTCACGTACGCCGGCTCAAAAGGCGCGTAATTAAAATTTAATTAGAGCAGAAAAATTAGACTATGAAATTCCAATAACGCGCCAAAAGCTAGCAAAGAGCTGCGGATATCCGAGGAGGGAAAATTGTATACATCAGCAGAAGAATTAAATAAAAGCAAAGTAAATTAGTTAAATTTAATGTGAAAATCCTTTGATTAAAACCAGTCAAGTATGTACATTAGCGAGTATTAAGAGAATAACGGAAAAGAAAAAGTCTGAAAGAAATTGAGAGTTGTTTCTAAAAGGCAAAAGGGGCTCTTCACACCGCGCTCAAATACGTTGCGTACATAACAAGGTCGCACGCGCACTCTCGGCTACAAAAGCAAACACAAGGCAAACAGGACGACAAATTCTAATACAGCAAACCCCTCCCTAAATCCGTTGTGTATCCCAGGCGTATAACCAAGGACATGCGAGCGTTCCAGGCGGTACGCCCCTGACAGTATAGCATAAATTGTCGAAAGGAAGACAACGGATTACGTAGCGAGTATTTGTTGTGTGTATAGGCATGGGTGTTCGTGGCCTTGTGTGTGTGTGTGTGTCATATAGATGTTTAAGTATTTAAGGGACTATCGATAATTTAAGCTGCAAATGCTCCACGATTGTGGCAGGACATATGTTAAGATTTTTGAAGATTTTTGATTTAAATATGAATTAATAATGCCATGAAACGCCTAAAATAAAATTTAGAGAGCTTTTAATATTTTGAGTAGTGATATGGCCCATATATATATACATATATATGTATGACCATACGGCATTTTTGTATTGATATTGAACATAGTTACAAGCTTCTAATATAATTTTTGAATATCATTGCCTCAGACAAATTCATAATTTTTAGAAATTAATTAATATAATTTTTGAATATCATTGCCTCAGACAAATTCACCATCAGGTTTTTCATTTCAGACCTGATTTAACCTTCTACTAGCAGATTATATATATTTCTTAAATTAAATTCCTCCGAAACACAAAATTGTCTATCTTAATTTTCAATAATATCGATTGAACAATTCACATTTCAAATTTTAATTTGTTTTTACTTGAACATTTGCCATATGAAAATAAGATTGAGTTGATGATTGATTTTATTGGCCTCAATGCCATATCATTTATTTTCTGTTTATGCTATAATTTCTGTTTATGCCATAATTTTAGAAGCTACCTTTATCGATAGTAGCATTCCACCCTCAAGTCTGACCTTGGCAGCAAGTCAAATAGTAGAACAGTTAACTTCGCAGCTGTCAAGTGGCGCTGAAGCTAAACTGTTGGCAAGCTATTCGACTTGGACTCTGCTCGGCTAGCAGCAGGTGCTGTTGCCAGTGGTCACTGTAGTTGTGAATTGTAGCACCCACCTGCGGCAGGTGGAGCTCTATTTATTTATACGCATTTAAAACTGATTTATGTGCGGCAAAAGACGACAGCTCTGCGCATGCCGCACTCTCCGCTCCGGTCCGCCAAGCAGCGTGTGGGGAACCGCGTGAGATGCATCTTTAATTTAGTTGGGCTCCTGCACACGCCCCAGCGTTTACCGCAAATGCGTCTTCAATGAATTTCTCACTTTAGTTCTGGGAGCATTCGAAGCACTAGGAGCACTTGGAAGGCAACGCATCAGCTGGCTAAGGCACGATTAATGTGGCATGGGGAAAATGAATCTCTTGAAGTGCGAGTGCCACTAGCCAGCGGCAGAAGTAGTTGCTGCACATGCTTCAAAACCTAATGAATTTTCCTCAACGAGGCAAATTGCCGAAAAAGTAAATCGCTTCGAATGGGCTTACCTCGCACTTAAATCAGTTTGGGCGCTATCAAATTTATTTACCAGGGAATGTTTCTCCTTATTTTTCTACTGCCTTCCATAGCAAGCTACCTAGCAACTTTACATACAAACACAGATGCACACACGCGCTAAGGCAATCTGTTATCGCATTAACAATTTCATACTAATTTCGGCAGCCACACACGTACACACTCATACACAAGTACTTGTTCACCACGAAGTAGGAAATATAATTAAATTGCATGCCTCAGCGACGTTGCAAGGATGCCTGCGTCGCCGCTGGTGGCAGGATATGTATAAGCTCTAGGGCAGACGTTGTAGTAAACTAAGCGTAATAACAAATAATTTCATTAAAAAAGAGCCATTCCAGCTAACCACGCCTCCCGGCCCATGAATATAATTTCTCCAACATGAGCAGCAGCCACAACGATAAACTAGGCAACGAGGCATACAAATCCAACTGTAGGCGAATAATTCCCACTTGTATTTAAGTAATTATGCCAGCAAATCCCAGAGTTGCGCAAAAAATCACAGCTAACACATGTGTGTGCCAGTGTGTGTGTGGGTGTGTGTGTATCCCGCTTTGTGGCAAATAGCGAAGAGTAAGCTCCACGCAGCGGAATCAAATGTACTACATATATTTCTATCAAAATACTGTGCTTAGATTGTGGGTTAGCGAACACGATATCTATAGTAACTATATATAAATATATGTATATGGTATGCCACACAAATAGAAGTATAGAATATGCTTTACTACTCTTATTCATTTTTTGCTATTGCCTGCAGGGTCGCCTTGCACGTATCTTGTGTAATCGAAAACGGAAGTCTCCGTTGCAGTGGCTCTCTTAAATTATTCGCGCAATGCAAGCATAGCAGAGGATCAGAATGACAGAAAGCTCTTTTCGAGCAAATAATCTAATAGAAAAGAAATATTTTTTTTAAATCTCTGAAAAGGACTGCTGTCAAGCTACCGATGGGGGCTTCATCATAATTCTACAAATAATTAAACAAATGATTAGAAATAAAAAAATTGTGAATTCTAAATTATTCATAGATTTTAAAATCACTAAAAGAATTATTTTATGCTAATTCGAAACCCAACATTACTTATCTCATTTTAATCGTAAATCGGGGAACATCTGAAATTAAGCCTACAAATTATTTCGAGAAAGAAGCATACAAAAAAAAAGTGAAAATAGTCAATAGCTTTATTTGATCTAATTTGCAATATCAGTAATTGCTTGGAATAAACTTAGCTCGGGTTTATTCCAACAAAATGTGACGATTGACAATTGACAGTTCAACTGTGTCAAAAGGCCTTTGCTTAACGTGTGCACTCCATCAACATAAATCACTCATACGTCAAGTTAAACACGCTCAAAGTCCAAAATGACGGCGCATTTACCAGGGGCGGGCGTGGCTGCCCGCGGGTAGACATGGCCATAAATTAATTAAAGCTGCCACATAAAGGAGGCAAATTGAGAATTGGGATCGTGTAAGCTGCTATTAAACTGTGAACGCGAAAGGCGAACAACGGCAACAGCAACAGCAAATTACAACCATTTACAATTAATTTGAACAACACTTGCCATGCAAATTGCGTGCCATGGCTCATAATTTCGACCGGTCACACACACACAGCTCAACAAGCGCAGACAAACACCACACACACATACAGACAGACAAACACACACACACACACACACACACAAACACGGACACGCAGAAAAAAGTCAACGCTGGTATTTAAAAAGGGGGCAACGTGCAAACACTCAATTAGCATATCAATAAATCAAGAAATAGTGTTGCCAGGGCCAAGAATCAACTCAGCTCCCTTTGCGGGACGCCCCCTGCTGGTAATCAAAATTTAGTTAACAGCGGCAAGCAATTTATTAACTTGGCTTGAACGCCACTTGCCCGTTGGCTGACTCTGACCTTGTGTTCTTGGACGCCAACGCTGCGTATGCGTGATGCTTGCGTGCCAACAATATTAATCATGGCCATGGACGGCGTCATCGATGTCCTACCGCTGGCCAAGGTCTTGGCCTGCACTTGTGCCCATCTGACCTGGCCCAGTGCTTGTTTGATTGAAACGCCCATAAATTAGAAGATGTCCTTTGTGAATAGTTCAATTTATTTTTGGCCTTTGCTGCTGTCTGCCAATTAAAATATTTGCCAGAGCGTTAGGCGCGTCGCCCTGTCCGTCTATCTGCCTAGTCAATTGTAATTGGCACGCACGCTAATTGGCCACTTTGATGATTTAATTTATTTTAATTGGCAAAAGTAATGCAAAGTGCGCGCAGCGTCCATGAAATGTGCGCCATTTGATGCCACATCCGGAATCATTCAATTAAACGTTAATACAATTCAAATGTGGTCATGGCAGTCGCTTTTTCAATCTAACAATGCAGGCAACACTCCAAATAACGCACCTACTAACGCTTGTGAGTACCTCCTAATATTAAATTTACACGCTTGAAAATGTGTGTCTAGCACAGCGAAAGATAGCTGCACTTTTTGGCATTTTACAAACAATTAAATATAATTGAAATTTTAACATTTAAATACAATATATAAAAAAAAACTAAATAATTTTGACATCAAAGTAAATAAATTAACCAAAAACGAGCAAACTGTTGGAATTCATTTTCATTATCTGGAATAGCCTTTGCTTCTATTTAAACGGTACAATCTGGTATACTTTAGTTTTCACGTAATTTGAAAGAAATGCATTAGTTAAATACAGTACGAAAATATTTAATTTTAACAAGTTTAAGAAAATCGAACATTAAAATTTGAAGAGCATAAGAATATTCTTCAACATTCTTAGGTTTAAGCCACACACAATTTTCAGCTAAAACTTTATGTATTCAGTCCGTACCAAATTCAGCACAAAATTTCAAGTCGTGCCAAAATCCAGAATTTATATTTTTATTCGAGTTAAACGATTTCAGCTATTGCTCTTTATTTTTGCTAATGCCGAGCCCGAGATGAGCTGCAAGGAGATGCGTGCTAATGCCACAGTAAGTGACAGCCACATCTAACGGCAGTATATAAAAGCATTCAATCCTTGACAGCGCCTGTCGGCTAGCTGTTGTCAGTTGACGCGTCCCAGCTTGGACACAGGCTATGCAGATTGTCGTGACAGCTTAAAGTTGCCCAAAGATCGTCACTTTACCTTCGCCGAGCTCTATACCATTAACATGGTAAGCTTTGCTGCATAAATGAAAGGAAATCATTAAACTTTTCGCAGTGCCTGGAAGAGTGCAACTATATAGGCTCTGGCTATATTGATGTGGATCCGCCCTTTCGCCTGGACATGGGCCGCGTAAAGCAAAACTTGGAGCACATACTGCCACAGCCAAAAGCCACAACCGTTGCCTTTATGTTCGATGCCTATGCCAAGTGCGAAGTATATCGTAAGTCGCCGTACAAGTAGCCAGGGCAAGCGGGAAAAGTAGTTTAAAAATGAGCGTTGCCTACTTGCAGGAGCACAGCACGCAGCACGCTTTGCGCTGCATCTGCCGGATATTGAATTCATTGAGGAGAAGTGCAACCCGTTCGCGTTGCACGTGACCATCTGTGTGCGCATCCATGCGATGCAGAAGTGCCCCAAGGAGTTCTACTCGCCCAGCGCCCAATGCCACATGGCTCAAACTTTCTTTACAAAGTGCGTGGATGACATTGAAACGAATCTTTCGTAAGACAATATGCACACACGCACACACACAAGCATGCAGACACACCTCTGGGCAAAAAGCAGCCAAAAGGTGATACGTGTAAATGAAATGTATTAAAGTTCTGCATGCACATAAATTCGTGTTGCACTGGCGCGAAGAAAAAAGCTTTTCAAAATAAAAGAAAAAGTCATAAAAGTCGTAGATGAAATATGGCAATTTGACTTTGCTCACTGTGTGAGTTAGTTTTACATGTGTGTGTGTGTCCTGGACTCCTATGCTGCAGTGTCAAAACTGCAAATTGAATCTCCCTTACATACATACACACATGCAGATGTGCTCGCATGTCAATGTCCGCTGCTGCTGACTTTGCATAACTTCGTCTGCTCCTTCAAACTTCCAAGCGTTGTGGCACTTGGTTTTATATACTCTGTTCGAAGCGTAAAAAAAGGTTGCATTGGCTTTATGCAATGTCCGTCTGTTTCTAAAGAAATACGGTTGCATGCTCGCATATGCCACATTAGATAAGGTTTATTGCTGATGAATTTTTTTATGTGACCTTAGATAATGTTGCCACGCCCACTTTCGCAATCATTCTCGAAGTTTTTCCTTTTAAATACACTGTGTGATAGAGCATTTCGTAGTCGGAAGTTGCCGGTTGCAACATTTTTAGTTGTTTTTCGTGTTTTAAATTTTTTCTTTATTTTTGCACATCCCTGAAGCCGAGTCAGCAGTTAAAGTTGACTGGCGTCGGTGTCGCTGTGTGTGTGACTGTGTATGTGTGAGTGTGTGTGTGTCACAGGACATGTTATGCAACTGAAACAAAGGCAAATTTATGTGTTAGTCCAGTGCCTCTCAGCGCCTGCCAACAGCCAACAGCCAACAGCCAGCAGGCAGCTTGAACCATATTGCAGGCCCCTCAGCGTCAGGTTAAATGGAATTTCGGTCGTATTTTCGCATCGTCCTTTAAGGCTCTGTTCGTGTTTGTGCATGAGTCTTAAAACAATTACCACATTACTAGATTTCTAGATTTCTCTCTCACTCGCAATCTCCTTCGTTAAGTCTTTTCCACGTCTTTTGCTTTGCGTTTGTCTTGCTTTGATTTGCATTTTTAGCCCCCTCAATGCCATTGCCAGCGCCACTGGCTGGCAATCAAAGAGCTTTTGCATTTTTCTTTAATTACGCCCTCGAGTCAAATTAAAAGCAAATGATAGCCAAGTTATACACACACACACACACACACAGACAAAAGCTCATAGCAATTTAGTAGCCTTTTCCATTTGCGGCTTTGTCGAGTTTTACAGTTTTACAGTTTACTTAGCCAAATCAAAGCGCACGTTTGGCCAGCTTTCAAGAAAATTATTTTTACAGACAAAGTCTGGCCGAGACGAACTAAATACTGCCCAAGAATGGCCAACGCTAGCAACGCCTTGCAAATGAATTGTACGAATTTACTAGACACTCCGCCTTCTGCGTGCCGCTACTCAAGTACCTAATGACCACTAGGTATTGCCTCATTTGTGCGCCAGCTAATTAGTTCAGCTTGGCGATTCTCTTTGCCACAGCCGGGCACCAACACAGCCAACGAGTCGAATAAAAGACGTCGAGTGCTCGTAATTAAAATAAAAATTCACTAGAAATAAAAAATATAATAATAGTCCTGCCTCAGGCATGTTGCACGTGTGTGTCTGGCTGGTCTGAGCAGTCAACCAGCCCCTGGTGGCGGCTGGTGGGACAAGGAAGCTGCATAATTCATGCAACCACTGCCAACAATAACAAGCTGGCTGTTGGCTGCTGGCTTGTGGCGCTATGCAAGGAGCGAGGGTGTGCAATCAAAATTATTATAATTGCGACGCGTTCGCCATTGTGCGACAACAATGACTTCCGCTTCCGTGCTGAAATTTGCTTGTCTCCAGTGTCGGTCGTCCTGCTCGTTATTCGTTGTGATTGCGCCCGCGCCTCTGATGGTTGTTGCTGCTGTTGCATCTGCTACGCCTGCATTTGCATTGTTTTTAGGCAACTCGTACAACAATACCGTTAAAGGGTAGCGCACTATGAGGATGCGGCACATTAAGTGCCTGCAAAAGACGCGCGACAAAGTGAGCAACGCCCTCAGGGCGGGGCCAAGGTTAGAGGAATGACGAGACGGTGGCTAACGTGCTCAAGTGCTGAAAAGCTGGAGAAGTCGCATGGCGCAGTAATAGGAGTGTGTGTATTTTTAGATGTATGTGTACATGTGTGTGTGTGTGTATGTGGATGTAAGTGTGCGCATTCAAAGCTGTAATTTTACTTTGAGTGAAAGGGAAACACAAGCCAACGTGTCTGGCTGTGCAATTAAAAGCATTCAAACAATTCTCTGATTAGCTGAACTTTGACATCAGTCAATGCTACATGAATGACATAACCTTTTGATCAGCTAGACAAACTCATAATCGGCTTCTACACACACATGCACAACGCATCAATCAAACTGTGGGATTCGAATTCAAAGCGCACAAGAGTAAAGGCCGGAACTTTGTTTGGCCTTTTGGCACGCAGCTAATGACATAATTTGATTTGTGTTACGAGAACTGTTTGCATCGAGTGCTGGGTATTATTACGATTATCACCATTATAACTTTTGCTTAGTGCATTAATTTAAGCAAAGTTTTGGCAACCAGTCCAGCCAGGCCGTCCGACCCTGCCCCCCAGCCACTGCCGCATGGGCAATCAATACCGATTCGTTTGCCAGTGTTTCGGAGTGTATAATAAAGTGCAATTTAATTAGTTTAATTAATAAGCAAGGAAGTTTCCAGTCGCTCGTCAAATACACACATAGACATTCGCACCCACACCGACACGCACATGCAGCACCAGGCATCAAATTGACTGTTTGTCTTTGCCTGAATGAAACTCTGAATGGGAACCCTGATTATTGCAATGGAGCTATGGGGCGTGACATGGCATCAGTTTCTGTGCTGTATTATATTTAATTCTGGCTGCCATTTCTATTAGGTTTTGAATACCCTGCACCAGCTCTGAAGCTTTGCAGAGAATGTTACATGCAGGAATAGGAGAGAGATCACTACGAGCTAAATCTTTCTACCTGAAATAAAACATTGACTTTCGAAAACTACTTCTCTCGATAGATAAATATCGGTCTTATAGCCTTGAAGCGGCTATCTAAATTTAAGGAAATATCCTTCACGTTATCTTCATCGCAATCAATATCCGACTGGCGAGTAATTTGTCACAATTTAAACTGAGATCGTATCGCGCGTTAAATATATCGCATATTTTATCTATATATGTAGGGTATTTCATTTGTGCCATCACTCGAATATCTCTACTTTCTCCCATACATGCCACATTTTAATTGCTTTATTAGCGCTCAGACACATACACACGTAAGACCGAACTCTGACAAGTCTGGGGCTAATTGTTGCATTAGATATCAGAAGTTTATGGCCCTGAAAGCAGCAGATTTTAGATATATTTTAATGAATTGTTATTACGCTTATCTGTCACACAGTGCAACCACCAGCCGCACCCCCTCCGCACCCTTTTGTTTGGCATGTTAGCTATGTTTCGCGCTGGTGGTTTTTTTAATTGTTGCGTATACGCCAGGTGGGCCGGTCCGTGACACAGGCAAAATCCCTTTTGCATATTAATGTCGGCACGGCATGTGTGCGTGTGTGTGGGGGGTGGGGGGGTCCTACCTTTGGACACTTTCTAGCTATTTGCCTGTGCCTTGCGTGCTTTTGACACTAGCTTTCCGGCGCCGCGAAAAACCTGTCGCCATCCAATTTCATTCGGTGTCGGATTTTCTCTGATTAAATATGCGCGCCCATATTTCATATTTCTGGGGCATTGCCTGCTGCATGTTGTCGCTATTTCATGGCTTTAAACCCGGAGTGCACTCTTTACCAACGGCTGCTAATCGATGTACTCGACTAGGCCATATAAAAGTAAATAAAACTTTTGGTTAAGTGGGGCACAGCTCGAAGTGAAATATACATATAAAACAGTGCCAGAGTATTAATCCAAAGTGGCCACTTGACAGGCATATGAATACAACGCGGCAACCGAGCAGAAATATAACAATAAGAGAGCACAATAAAATAAATCAAAGAGCCATGTTCGCCGCTACAAATAAATTCATAAATTTCGAGTGCCAAACAGCAGCAACAACAAGAACTACAGCAATAACAATAATAATAATAAAAACTGTGCAAATGAGAGCGTTACAGACCATTTCGCGCGCCAATCAATGAGCTATGAAAATATGAAAAAAATTAACAGCTTTGCAGGCGAGAGCTTGCGACTGGCTGATACACTTCCTTCAGTATAAGTTCAAACAGAATTAAAAATGTAAGTGCGCGTGGCTGTATATCTTGTGCTTCGCAAATTTTCTCGCAGTGTCTGAAAGGAGCTATATGCCAGACATAAAAATCGATTTTTGGATGTGACAAAAATTCCTAATGCTGTGTCTTAGGCTAGTGTACACATGTTTACCAAATCTAGCCCAACGCCAATACACCCTTTTTGTTCGCTTGACAACAGAGTATAAAAATAAAAACGATCACCACAGCTGGCAATGGCAAAGGTCAGAGGCGGATGAGAGACTGCAGCAGCTCTTGTGTCTGTTTTTAAATTGTAAATCACTTCTCGAAAATGGAAAATATTGTCGCACGTTTTTGCTTGTAGAGACACGCAAACCAAATGTATCTATATGTATATTTATGTATGTATATATAGATATAGGCTAATCGCTGGCAGCCATGGCTTTGTGTAGGGCGACCTCAAGTGACCCAACCGGACTCATAATAAATCTGCTGAGGCATATTGCGTATACGCACTATTGACACAAACACTTCAAATAGACGGGCGAGCAACCTAGTGGTAACTCCAAGCAAGCGTGAGAAGCGAAGCTTATGAAATAATAACAACAACAGCAACAGCACACATTGAGCTGGATAAGAGAAATGGAAGTCCGGAGATTGGTTGTAGGGTTGCGGGGCGGGGGAGCTATGCATGAAAAGCAAAGC